GGAACAGTTAATCAGAAAGTAAACGAACGATCATATGAAATGAACATTAAAGGAAAAACATTCAGAAGAAATAGGAGACAATTGCATAAAACGAGCGAAAACAACAAAACATGTGAAAAGGAACAATTCAATTCAGAATCAAATGAATTCGAGGACGATGAACAATTTGATCATGTTGAACAACAAGAGAATTGCAACAATAACCACAATTCCGCAACAAAGACCGCTACAAAACACATTGGACAATAACACAACTACAAGGACAAGATCAGGAAGACAAATCAAAAGACCATCAAAATTCAATGATTTTGTGAGTTAGTCGACATAACACTTGTGTTTCCGTGGGGCATAATAATCCCCTGGTGTTCTCCAAATGGTTCCGTTGTAAATTTTACATAGTAGTAGTTGAGAACACACTGTGCGGTTGGGGCAGAATAATACCCGTGTGTTTCTCTCAGAGAATCATTTAGATTCTGTCTAGTGTGCATAATTAGTTTAGTTTTATTAAATGCTATTTTTGAATGTGTGCGCAATATTTACATGAACAGTATTACGAATTTTAGCCGAAACAGTATCAAATCTTTTGCAGACTTTAAAATATTGAACAGTAACTTTTCAGTATTAATTGATATTATCATTTACAGTGTATGTTTTTTTATTATGCAAGTTATGCATTTTTAATTCACTAGTCCAAGTTCAGTGTTTCTAGTCAAGTAAAAATTTAAAGTTCAATTTAATTTTTATTTAAAGAAGAAAGGATGTAACAATACTCCAATTTATAAGACTCGTCCGGGTCTGCATACTTGATTTAGCTATTGTTTATTTACAAACTGTTAGAATGGAATGTACCCATAATGCTGGGTATTGCTATTAAATATGTAGTTCAACGTACTGTATTTATATCACTCGAAGCCAAACTTATATATCCCCCAGAACTAGAAATTAAAGAAACAACAGACACGGCTTCCTCCGCCTCATTTTTAGACTTATACCTCGAATTTGACATACACAGTCATCTCAGTACCATAATTTATGACAAACGAGACGATTTTAATTTTGAAATTATCAATTTCCTCCACCTTAATAGCAATATACCAACTTCACCTGTATATGGGATATACATTTCCCAACTTTTTCGGTATTCAAGAGCTTGCAACTCCTACTCAGACTTTGTAAAACGTCACCAGTGTCTGAGCAGAAAGTTGATGAACCAGGGGTATGTCAAAGAACGTCTCGTCCATTTTCTAAAAAAAGTTCATTGGAAGGTACAAAGACCTTATTGATAAATATTCCGTATCAACTTCACAAATAATACACGATGGTCTTGAAGTATAGATTCTGCGTACTGACGTTGTGTATCATCTTAATAACGTGTTAAAGTATTCTCTTATTTGTCTTTATTAATATTACTTTTACTGTTAAGTCTGTTTTTTGTGAGATCCATTTGACGTGACTCTGTACTTCTGTATCCCGTCATACTTTGAACGACAAAATTATTTTATTTATTAACAAATCTTTTACTGTTAAGTCTGTTTTTTGTGATATCCATTTGACGTGACTCTGTACTTATGTATCCCGTCATACTTTGAACGACAAAATTATTTTATATCTACCTGTGTAACGTCAAACGCGCGATTCAACGCCAGTACTTAAAACCTTCCATTCTTTATGGGTGGATTTTACATAGATAAATAAAATAGTATAATAAAAAAGCAAAATGAGGATGTTAAATTTGATGTATGCCTCTTTGTGCTTCTTTGTTACATTTGTTTGTTTTTATAGTGATTAAGATGATAACACAATGTTGACTGCTGTACCGCTATTTTTGACATTTTTATCTAGTGGGTCTGTTTGTTTTGTTCACGCATCGTTGTCAATATAATGGAATTTGATGCGACTGTCATATAAGTGAGAGGTTTAGCTAGCTTTAAAACCAGGTTCAATCCACCATTTTCTTCAAAAGAAAATGCCTGTACCACGTCAGGAATATGACAGTTGTTATCCATTCGTTTGATGTGTTTGAGCTTTTGATTTTGCCATTTGATTAGGGACTTTCGTTTTTGAATTTTCCTCGGAGTTGAGTAATTTTGTGATTTGACTTTTTATCCTAAAAACGTTCGAATGTTTCAATTTATGGGATCTTTGATCAAATTGAGCAGCATCCATGTATCATGGAATCGTCATCCTTAGAACATCGTATAAACTGCAATGTACAATTCGATCGAAGAAATAAATGACAACAAAGCCTTGTCTTAGTTTTGTTCATTTTCAATTTTTGGAGGTCATTTTGAAATTTTCCGCCATTTTGAAAAACAAATTGAAAAGTCTGACATAACGTAAGGACTTACTAGAAACGTTGCATTACATTTTATAAACTTTTAAAAGACTTGGTTTGGATATTATTTGTTTTAGTTTTGGTTTGGATATTATTTGTTTTAGTTTATACATAGTTGTGGAATTTGGACTTATTGGCAGATATCTTGAAAATAGTCGCCATATTGGAATTTTCAAAGTGGGTCCATAGCTTAAATTAACTATCAACTATATATCTACAATTGTGCAAAGTTTCATGCTTTTATCATCAAATCTTTTAAAATTATGCACGAATCAGAATATTTGGTCATTTGATCATTTGATAGAGTAAAATGTATGTATACAGATGTAAAAAGTTAAGAACTGACACGAAGAGAGCACGAAACCGTGAAACATGTACATGTAATACGAAAAAGGAATATTCATAGGTCAAAGTATGATTTCTAATACAGTGTGAATCAATAAGATCAGAGGCGGATTTAGAGGGGAGGGGGGCGTTATAGCTTCATATATGATAAATGAATAGACTGGCTTGTTTAAAAGTGGGGTGTAAGATATTATACCCTGTGAATCTTGATTTTGTTTTACAGGTCATCATACATTTGTTAACATTTTAAAATTTGTACAGATCTGTTTGCCGAACGTGACTATTCACATCTTGCTTTTTCAGTGGCAGTTAGTTCATACATATACAGATCGAAAACAAATTAACAATTCATCAAATAGATAGTTTACTAGACGAAGCACCGGATTCAAAAAAACAATTTTTCAAACGGATAGAGATGCGCATGTTTACATTCCATAGAACTGAACGAACGATTTAGCAAGGGTTTAACTGCCGGAATAGGAGAAGTTAAAAGAGGACCACATTTCTATACAACATTCAACCCTATTTAAACATGAGAAGGCATTATAGATTTGTAAACATTTTACAATTAATTTGCCAAAACAGGACTATTCACATCTTGCTTTTTAAAGTGTCAGTTATTTCACGCTTACACAGAATGAAAACAAATTAACAATTCAAACATAATATGGTTTTACCAACACTGGGATGGAAAGCCAGAAATTTGAACTTTCACTGGACATTTGTTGGATATGCCAGACATTATGCTTTCTAATATGCTTCTTAAAGTCCACTCAAGGTTTTTTGGCAAAAGTTCTTTTAGAGTAAGGAAATCAATCTTAACGAAGAACCGGATTGAACAACGAGATTCCAACCAGAAGTTGCTGCGCATTTTTATATTCCAAAGAGCTAAACGAACGATTTAGAAAAGCTAGCTAGATTTAAATGCCGAAACAGGAGAAGTTCAAGAAGGATCACATTTCTATACCACATTCAACCATTAGAGATGGGAATACATCATACGTCTGATTCTTACGTTGAGTGTAGAATATGTACAAGTTACGTCGAAAAGTTTATATTTGTCTTTTCTTGCATTCATATTATATATATTTTCATTCTAAAACAGCTTTGAAAAAATTGCTAATTTTGTTTTAAAAATCTATTTTGATATTATCGGACTTTTACATTTAGAATCTGAATTGGGTTGTAAAATAAACAAGTTGAACCTGTGACCTATGAAGCAATCGTGATAATCCCTCTATAGAATTCGACAGACATGAGGTTGATGAGTTACTGATGCACAAATGCAGAACACGTTATTGAATTTCACAATTAGCTTGATTCCACTAGGGCAATTTTAACAAAACCTTTATTATAGTTCCTGAGAATAATGCGACGACAATTTCAATAATGGTTATTATTTGTTAGTGTATGACAAGTATTCGACAAACATTAATTTGATTAAGTTGATAAGCGAAATAGTATTGAACAGACGGATGGACTGAAGGATTCACAGATAGACAGACAGGCGTAAACCAATATAGCCACTCCATTTGAGCATGGTATGATATCCAGATTTTTATTATCCATGGGCTCCACAATATATGCTACTATAAGAGCTTTCCAAACAATCACTTCACTTGAAACATTTTTCTGTGTTCTCTTGTTTTAACCATGTCATTTCTCGAGTTAACTTTTCTCACCTCCAAATGATCAGTAGTAACATTTTCCCCTCAGGTCTCCTCATCAAAAACATATGAAAGACTGGTCCGTACATTTAATAAATATTCTCAAATTATCATATCATAATATGAAAATTCGAAATTTTCTTCTACAAACATCCCAAAAAACTCATTCATATCGAGTTTTTATCCAATTAGTCCATGATTTACCAATTCTTTATGTCGCAACTTTATCTTTGAGATATCGTGATTTTGTTACTTTGACAGCAGCAATTCCAGTTTGGCGAATGATTTATTTATTTTCATCATTGATTATCAATACATGAATACATGTAGTACATACACTTATCTTCATCATTGATTATCAATACATGAACAGTACATACACTTATTTTCATCATTGATTATCAATACATGAATAGTACATACACGATTATTTCCTTCAGCAGTGTGATTTGACATCTGTTGCTAAAATATTTCTATTTTCATCTTGTTGTTTGGTTATCGTGTTTAATTATGCAAAACGTTCTTCCTTGTCTGAAAAATGTTTCGTAGCAAGCCAATCAAAATAGATTGACTATAGCTTCCTTATTCCTCATACGCAAATTTTACAAACAAAATGCTATTGTTAAGGTATATATATACAAGTATAGCATTATAACCAGCTTCATTTACTGCAAAGATTAGATTGTTTGAATCAGTTGCTTTGGGAACTTAGTGGAAGGTAAGTAAAGAAATTGTTTCCTTATATTTCAACAATACATACTTGATTATACAAGTACTCAATTTGTTATTGCTTTTTGAATTGTGATTTGTGGGGTCACATTCGAAGTGTTTTGTTATTTTCATTTCTGATATTCTGAATAGTTGAGTCTTGTCTGTCATGTCTATGTTGTCTGTAATGGTAGTTTACTTTTTTCGTGTGTCAAACATTGCCGAAGGTGTTGACATCGCATTGTTTTTTCGATTTTGTTCTTGCATTGTTTACACTTTCTTGTCGGATAATTTTGTTCTCACAGTAAAAATATTTTCACCTTTAAATTAAGAAATGCTAAGAATTAGATTGCATTCTTCCCTGACAATATTTGTACGTCAGACTATGAACATTATATTGGTTTCGCAAATGCACCAGGCTCGTATGTTTATACCATGTACTTTACCATTTTCTGTTAAATTTATCATTACTTGGGTCAATCGATATTTAGTTATGAACATGGAACAAAAACTATTTTCTTATTTTGTCTCAATTTATAAAGCATTGTCATCATACATGTATTCATTTACTCGCTTTCAAACATCTGAGTTCTTTAATTTATTTTAACTCATTGTAAAATCAATGGGACAGTAGAAAATAGACCAAATATATTTATAAATTATAAAGAGGTTACTGAATGCCTAAAAAGATGTTATTCAAACTCATTCTAAAAACTGAAGATCCTTCTCTTTTATGTTAGTGTTAACAAGTAAAACATGTTGAATTAGCTGGTATTAATCAATTGAATTATTACTACACAGGTATTTCCTTTTAGTTGGTGTTCAGCATTTAGTTTGATCAATTGCATAAATTAAGCAATGCGGTTAAACCAAAATAGTTTTGTAATGAAGTCTTCTCCCGGTGAATCAGAGATCAAAGTTTCTTGTGATGGGGTTCGTGTTGCTCGGTCTTTAGTTTCCTATTATGGGTTTGGTAGACTGTTGTTAGTCGATTCGTCGTCTTACGTGTTTAGCCATGGCGATTTCAGTGTGTCTTTCACTTATCAGTTTGAATATTCGTTTCATATGTTCCAACTCTCGGTTCCGTTTTATTACAGATAGTTTTTTTCCTCAAAAGATTTAGATAAAGCTTCAAACAATTAAGATTTCCCCCTTATTGTTACTTTATTATTATTATTTTTAGCACAACATTCACGTGTTCCGTTCACTTTGCATGTACTGAACAAAAGTAAATATTTTAAGTGACAATACAAAATATCATTGATAAAGCATACAGTTTATAATAAATTATCAATGATAATTGTTTTGTATGTGTAAATGCAGAACTTTTTGCTTTTATTTTGGAATTTAACATTAAATCTTAGTCCTTCTTTTCATCACAAACGAATAGACTACTTTCGAGTTATGTCCTTCACCGGAAAAGTTCGTCAATTATGCGCGCCTTTATGATGTCATTCACCAGATAGAGGGGATTGCCTGTATCCCAGCACTATTAAAGATGATCAAGCGTCTTCGTGATCGTTATTATGCAGGATAAACTATCAATAATGTTTGTTCACTAAAAGTAAAGTTTTTGACGGAAATACAACGAACTCGAAAGTTGTCTTTTGTCTTTACAGTGGGTCCCACATGCCTTCATAAACTGTCCTGGTTGCTTTTGTAAGTGCGATTTGAAATTAGAGGACACTGTAGCTTACCAATTTTGAAATTTCAAAATCCATATGCAAGCTACATTCAACGAAAAAAATTGAGGGAATCACATAAACTCTAAAAGAAGCCGAGATCGGGTTTGTCGACAGGGTAAGATATTGGATTGACCAAGCCATATTTGCAAAAACCCAAGGCAATGGATATTAGAAATAAGAGACTTATAAGAGTTAAATACATTTATTTTTAAATTATTCTACAATGCTTCATGCCTGTGGGAGCATCACCTCTGTGTCGATAGCTTAAGTTCCCATACAGGACTTTTAAATATCCGTTTATCTTATTGCATATTATTTTTATGGGAAGACCGCATTTTTTTTAACCATGATTGCAAGCTTTTGGCCAAGAAACCATAATTTATTAGAGATATGTCCTAACTGAAGTTTTTAATGTGATAAAAAGTTCACATTCATCAGTCATTTCCTTTTGTTTTTCATCAGCTATGTTTTGTTTAACAAAAGGTAAATTGATATCATGCAGATAGTATACTTTTTGGGGTTGACCATTTCTAATGATTATCAATCCAGAAAAGTATGATTCAAACTCAATTAATGTAAGAAGTAGCATGTTCCTTTTGTAGCACCGGGTAAATGATCCTGTTAGTATACTGCTAGGGCAAGAGGGTATTATCAGTATCCAGTATTCAGTGCATCATTATTGTCAGAATTTATAAGAATCATTTGTTAATTCATTTGTTGATAAATTTAAAAATTATTAACAAAAAAAACATGGTTCCAAACCCTGTATGCCAAATAGGACTTATGATGATTTTGATTGTTTTAAGGTTGATGTTTGACATATAGGTCTACAAGTATTCAAGAATTTATTCATCCCAAATTTTAATCAAAATAGTTCCCGGTCTGTCTTGTTAAAATTGACATTTCTCTAGCATGTCTAAAAAATTTTAATTTGCAGATTTTTCAAACAGTTTCATTGTTTTTATCCAGTAACATTCAAAACAGATCCGACATGAAAATTGGAACCATGTTGTTTAAGACGATAGCGGTTTTGATCCTCAGTTTTTTAAAAGAAGTTTACACTGTGAAATGCACCGAACCCGGACTAATAATGTGTGACTGCATAGGAACAGTAATTACTTGTAGGAACCCAAACTTAAAACAAATACCAAGTAATATTCCTACAAAAACAACAGACTTGTAAGTATTGCCGTATGTTTGTATATTCATATTGTTAAATTTGCTTTTTCAAATCGTGTTTACTTTTATCAACTTTGTTTTGAGCTCATTGGCTTTAAATTATGTTTTAATCGCCAAAGGTTAGGTCCGAATCTTTCAATTGATTATAATCATGACTTTGCTGATCCCAGATGCGTTTATCTTTTACCATGTCTCTATAATTCAAATCAATATTGAAATTTGATTTTAAGTCTTTTTTTGAAAATCCGTAATTTTACGACGCAAAAGATGTTTTCATAAAATGCAGTACAAAATTAAGAAACTATTTGTTTAATTTTGATAATGATTCTGATTTCATAAGAAGGTTGGATAAAAAAAAAAAAATCTGGGTACATGTAGCATGTTCACTGTTAAACAATAATAATAATTGATAAACTTTTGAATATCATTATTTAGAACCATAAGCTCTTTAAAAAAACATAATTGTGAACTATAAGCTCTTCAATATCATGTTTAGACCACAACTCTTTATTGTCATGATTTAGATCCGTACGCTCTTCAATATCATGATTTATAAACATAAGCTCTTTAATATCATGATTTTGTTCAATGAGGTAGAATCATAAACTAAGAATATCATAATATGAAACAGTTTCTGTAAGATTTTTGATATTATGATTTAAAACCATAAACGTTTGAATATCATGATTTAGAACCATATGCTCTTCAATATTATGATTTAGTACCATAAGGTTTCAAATATTATGTTTAAGAACCATAATCTCTTCAAGTTCTTGATTTAGAACATCAAGCTCTTAATTATCATATTTTAGAACCTCAAGCTTAGAATATCATTATTTATAACCATAAACTCTTAAATATCATGATTAAGAACCATAATCTCTACAAGCTCTTGATTTAGAACCATAATCTCTACAAACACTTGGTTCAGAACCTCAAGCTCTTAAATATCATGATTTAGAACCTCAAGCTTAGAATATCATTATATGGAACCATATACTCTTTAATATCATGATTAAGAACCATAATCTCTTCAAGTTCTTGATTTAGAACCTTAAGTTCTTAAATATCATGATTTAGAACCTCATGCTTAGAATATCATGATATAGAACCATAAACCCTTAAATATTATGATCTAGTACCATAAGGTTTTGAATATCATTATTTAAAACAATCATTTCTTAAATATTATGATTTAGAACACCAAGCTTAAAATTTCCTGATATAGAACCATAATCTCTTGAATATCATGATTGTGAACTATAAGCTCTTAAATTTCATGTTTAGACCACAACCTCTTAATTGTCATGATTTAGATCCATAAACTCTTCAAAATTATGATTTATAAACATAAGCTCTTAAATATCATGATGTTGTTTAATGAGGTAGAATCATAATAAAAACAGTTCTTATAAGACTTTAAATATAATGAGGTAAAACCATATATATGAATATCATGATTTAGAACCGTATGCCCTTCAATATTATGATTTAGTACCATAAGGTTTTGAATATTATGATTTAGAATCATAATCTCTTCAAGTTTTTGATTTATGAACTCAAGCTCTTGAATACTATGATTAAGAACCTCATGCTTAGAATATCATGATATAGAACCATAATTTCTTCAAGTTCTTGACTTAGAACCTTAAGCTCTTAAATATCATGATTTAGAACCCCAGGCTTAAAATTTCTTGATGTATAATCATAAACTCCTTAACCTTTGCAATATCAGGCTTAGGAATAAAATTGAGAATGGAAATGGGGAATGTGTCAAAGAGACAACAACCCGACCACAGAACAGACAACAGCAGAAGGTCACCAACAGGTCTTCAATGCAGCGAGAAATTCCCGCACCCGGTGGCGTCCTTCAGCTGGCCCCTAAACAAATATATATATACTAGTTCAGTGATAATGAACGCCATACTAAACTCCAAATTGTACACAAGAAACTAAAATTAAAAATAATACAAGACTAACAAAGGCTAGAGGCTCCTGACTTGGGACAGGCGCAAAAATGCGGCGGGGTTAAACATGTTTGTGAGATCTCAACCCTCCCCCTATACCTCTAGCCAATGTAGAAAAGTAAACGCATAACAATACGCACATTAAAATTCAGTTCAAGAGAAGTCCGAGTCTGATGTCAGAAGATGTAAGATGTTACCAAAGAAAATAAACAAACTGACAATAATACATAAATAACAACAGACTACTAGCAGTTAACTGACATGCCAGCTCCAGACTTCAATTAAACTGATTGAAAGATTATGTCTTCATCATATGAATATCAGGCACAATCCTTCCCGTTAGGGGTTTAGTATCATACCATCATACCACATATGTGAAGAACATAACCCGTGTCATGCCAACAACTGGTTTTTAAATAAATGTGTTTAGTACCGATGCAAAGACCCTATAAGTGAATCAATATTAACGCCAAAATATGCAATCTTTAATGACCGGACAACAGTATCGTAGCTATATCCCTTCTTAATAAGTCTATTTAAACGTTTTGTTAGCTTCAGAGGTGAATACTGACATTTTTGTGCTTTATAAAGAATGTTTCCATAAAAAATTGGATGTGAAATACCTGAACGTATAAGAAGTCTGCATGTTGAGCTATATTTACGAATGATGTCCTTATACCGATGATAAAATTTACTAAATGTTTTGACTAGTTTGTGATATCGAAAACCCTGGTGTAATAATTTTTCAGTAATACATAAATTTCTCTCGTTAAAATCTAAAACATTATTACATACACGGGCGAATTGTACAAGTTGAGATATATAAACACCGTAAGATGGTGACAAGGGAACGTCACCATCTAAAAATGGATAATTAACGATAGGAAATGAAAAATCATCTCTTTTATCATATATTTTAGTATTAAGCTTTCCATTAATGATATAGATATCAAGATCGAGGAAAGGGCAGTGGTCATTGTTAGTATTAGCTTTGTTTAAAGTAAGTTCAACAGGATAAATTTCTTTAGTATACATACTGAAGTCGTCATTATTGAGAGCCAAAATATCATCCAAATATCTAAAAGTATTATTAAATTTGTGTATCAGATGTTGTTTCGATGGGTCTTTGCTGATTTTTGTCATAAATTGTAACTCATAGCAATACAAAAAAAGGTCCGCAATAAGTGGTGCACAGTTAGTCCCCATTGGAATTCCGATAACCTGACGATATACGGAATCTCCAAGGCGAACAAAAATGTTATCTAGTAAAAATTCAAGGGCATATATAGTATCAAAGCATGTCCAATTGACATAGTTTTTTTGTTTATTGCTACTAAAAAATGACCTAAAAGAGTTTGAACATATATATTCACATTCTGACATTTTAAATGCCCATTTAATTAGGTGTTTGAATTTTTTCTTAATGAGAATGTGAGGCAATGTGGTATATAGGGTAGAAAAATCAAAACTTTGAACAGATTCAAAATCACCAATATATGCATGTAATTTATCAAGTACTTCCAACGAGTTCTTGACACTCCAAAAGTAATTAATTCCACTATTTTCGAAGGCCTTATTTGAACAATTTATTATCAGGTTTTTGATTGTACCAAGTGTACTGGTAAGAAGAATAGACAATTAGTAGTGGAACAATGGCTTGAAGACGAAATGAATCTATATTTGTAAGGTGTTTTGTGTAGCTTCGGAAGCCAATACATAGTTGGGACTTTCATTGTATTTGGTTCTGCTTGTAAAGCGGTAGCTAAAAGTTTATGTTTGTTACAGATGTCGTTTTCTGAAAATGGAGTCAGTTGGAATGTTGGTGAATTGGTGATTTCTTTTTTCAGAACCTCAATGTAAAATTTACGTCAAACAATAATAATATTATTGGCAGCTTTTTCGGCCGGGACAAAAACAAATTCCTTGGCTAGTTCTTTTAGTTTATGTTTGATACGAGAAATAGGTTTATTGTGGTTATTGTTAAGAGTAAAATGTTCTTTAAAATGTTGAATACGTATATCAACTATGTTCATTACTGAATTAAAAAAAGAGTCCAAAGATTTTTTGTCAGCTTTTTCCCGTTTTATCCATTTCAAACAGTAAGTATGGAGTGAGTCGTGGATGATATTACGACACTCATTCCAATTAATAATTGACGGGGGACGATATTTAGGTCCTTTACTGAGGAATGATTTTAACTCTCGGTCTTGAACGATGTTAAGATCTCCTGTTATAACATGGGAAATGGGTCCATAAATGTATTCGGAATTACTGCAATTACATGAAGTAGGTGTATTTTCACTGATATTAACATCTTTACACAATTGGCTATAATTAAACACAAATTTCCGGGTAGATTTCTTGTAAATTAAACAAATAAGAGGGAGCTCAGTATTATCAAAATATCCCGGAATTTGTTCTTTAACAGAATGGTCGTTAAAAATACCGGCAATATTTACAAAATCAGAACCTTTATTGACATACTTTATTTTAATAAACTGTTTTTTATGATCTTCAAGGCGATCAATTTTGGGAAACAGTTTAGAATAACAATATGCCATTATAATTTGAACGATTTCATACTTAGGACTGCTATATGAAATTGTGTTGCAATCCTCTAAAATTTTATTTAACTTATTAACCGGTAATGAACAGAGCTTTGTTAACAGATAATGTCTGCCGTTGTTTTTTTAAATAGAAATTAGGTCCGAAATATTGGTATGATTGGTCCGAAATTTTCTTTGATTGCGATTTTTTCTACGACCATGAGAACGGTTTTTACAAACAAGTTTAGAAACTATATCCAAAATGTTAACAGAATCGGTTCTTGATATATTACCAATTCCCATGATATTATCATTAAGACCGAGAGGGTAGACTTTAAGAAGCCTTTTTGATATAATGATATAGAACTATTTGCTTTTGCATATCATGATCCTAGACCACAAGCTTTTGAATATCATAATGAAGAACCATCAGCCTTCGAATATAATGAAAATCAAGAAGTGTAAGCCTTTTAATGTCAGGATATAGAACTATAACATGCATTAGCTCTTTAATATAATGATTTAAAACTATAGTTTTTTGTTTTTTTTTTAATTTCATGATGTCGAAATATATAAAACTTTTTGATATGATGATGTAGAACCTCAAGATTTTGAATGATATGATTTAAAACCAGAAGATTTTGAAATTCACCCCCAGTTTTTTTGTGGGGTTCGTGATTTCTAGTTTTTAGTTTTCTATGTTGTGTTTTATGTGCTGTTGTTTGTCTGTTGGTGTTTTTTCTATTTTGTGATTGTTCGACTTATGAGTTTAAATGTCCCTTTGGTATCTTTCGCCTCTCTTTAAGAACCACGATCTCTTCAATGTAATGATGTAGAACCATACGCTACGAATATCATGATTTAGAACAATGAACTCTTTCTAATGATGATGCAGTACCATACACTTTTGATATCATGATTCAGAACCATGAGCTCTTTCATATAATTATGTAGTACAATAAGCTATGAATGTCACGACAGAGGCGGATTTAGGGGGACAGGGTGCCAGCCCCCCTTTTGTGGGAAACATTTGGTTGATTATTTAGGGAATCACTGAAGCATGACTGGAGCGGACCCCCTCTTAAGCAGTCAGTGCCCCCCCCTTTTTTTTAACTTTCTGGATTCGCCACTGCACGATGTAGTACCATAATCTTTCTTATGGTTGTATTTCATTTGGAAATAAGTAATTTCGTTTTAAACTAAAGTTTAAGTTAATTGAAAGACTTTTTGTCTGCTTTTTAAAACTGTCTTTTATTATAAATTTTTGAAATACCTCTCGCCGCGATATTGTTGTGCTGATGCGACGTAAAGCAATCACCAATCAATCAATCATTCGTTTGTATTAAAGTTGTAGTAAATTGAAAGACATTTTGTCAGATTTATTAAAACCGTCTTTTGTTAATTTGTTTGAATTGGCTCTCGCCTCGATATAGCCTGGTTGTGCTGTTGCGGCGTAAAGACATCACCAATCAATCTATCAATCATAACATTTGTATGCACAATGCAAGGATAATGCGACGAAAGCGATTAATGAGGTCCTCGAGAGTTTTATATGATGACATTTTTAAATACACTAGTTGATAAATAGCGATACGCAGCAAGTGTGCATTTTATCCGTAATTAAAATGTGTCATATACAAATTATGTTTATGTTTTGTCTTTGTAAGTATTTTATGACAAAGTGAAAGTATGGAAGTAAATATTTAAAATGCTTACCTTTTAGAGATAGATTAATGAGAGAAATTTTGCAAATAAAAACAAAATGAGATTAAGACAGCTTCTTAATCATTTTAATCAGCCAGTTATTTCGAATAATACGTTTGACATATAATACACCCCCTCAAACACCCCTCCCCCCCAAAAAAAAATGCCGCATCAAAATAAAGAAATTTATTTATTTCTAATATCCCAGGGAGGATTTGTTATACGAGAAGAACACCTTACGATACGATTATTTGGTAGCACATTAAATTTCCCAAACTTCCATATTGTTGAAAAAATAGAGTTACGCAGCAAGTGTGCAATATCTAGCCTAAATGATGATTTATGGCATGACGAATTTTAAGGTTCTAATGCATTCTTAATTTAGTTGTGTTATATACAAGTACTGTAAATTCAGAAATTATTGCGTGCATTTATTATTGCGATTATGTCATTAGACTAAAATTCGATTTTAATTTTTGCGATATTGAGAAAAATCCTGTTTAATTCATATAAAAAATTTCAAATGCGAGTTTAAATTATTGCGATTATAACCCTGTCGAATTTTTCGCAATAATAAAAACATCGCAATAATTTCTGAATTTACAGTAGTGTTTAGAATCTTTGTTTTACATAGCAAGTTTTGCTATTATTTTGTTATCTTGGTATTTAACAATGTCATAATAATCGTTATTTATTGATCAATATGTCTGCTTTAAGAATTGTTCTCCATTTTCAGATTTCTATCAGGCAATAAAATTGATTCAATAGGTGACAAATTATCAGGACTTACATTGCTTCGGTTCTTGTAAGTACATAAGAACTCAAAATCGTATTTGTTCCGTTATGAAGGTAATCACGAAATGGACTTAGGACAGACTTTTGTTGTATTGTACTGTCCATCCAAACGTCCTTTTATATCATTTTTAGCCCTTCGATGTCGGAAGGACTTGGTTAATGGTTGATTTTTTTTAAATGTTTTTCAACTTTGAGAATATCCGTAGTCATTATATTTATGAAAAAGTCAACTGTTGCTTACAAATTGTTGATATTAAAAATGTGAATATTTTATAAGATATTGGATGGATATTGCAGAGCATATCTAGATATATATTAGATGGATATAATACTATTCCATTTTATTTGCGAAAATCATCGAAAGGTATGATGCATTTTTTATCTGAATAACAATTAAAGATCAATACGAGAATATGTTATTTATGTGATGTTTATTTGTCCTGATGAACTCTTATGTTAGAAATGCAACATTTTAAACCTATCATATTTCAAAGAGCATATCTAGAAAGCAGTTGTCTCCGTCTGTCTATCAATCTATCTGACATACAGAATAACGTGTTTATACAATGCGTGACTTATACTTGTGTTTTCTATCAACATAAGTCTAATATTTCACAGACATTTCACACACATCAAAGATGTTCAATTTTGATTTTGGACCGTTTTCAATGTTTTGAATTTAGTATTTTTTCTCATTAGATCTATAAATGGTACTTCTTTGAGGCATATGTATTATAGTTTTTTTCTGCAAATTGATCGAAAGAGTCCATTTCATATATAGATTGGAAAATTTTTTAAAGGTTTTTTTAAATAAAAATAGCTACTTTTGCCATTGAGTGATATAAAGGTTTCTTGCATTTTTTTTTATATGTAACCCGTAAGGATTTCCTCCCACAATCTTTCATTTAAACCATAAAGATCAAAAGGACATTCAAATTTACATGTTAAAATAAATGGCAACGCCATGACAAAAAACACTGATAAAGGATCAAAAGACATGCAAAAATATATGCGGGGGACATCGAAATACCGGTCATCTGTCCGTCTGGTCTTGTAAGCGCTTTTTACGCATACAATTCTTGTCAGATTATGATAAAATTCATATATAGATATAAGAAGGTGTGGCATGAGTGCCAATGAGTCAACTCTCCATCCAAGTCACCATTTATAAAGTGAACCATTATAGGTCAAAGTACGGTCTTCAACACGGAGCCTTGGCTCACACCTCACAGCAAGCTATAAAGGGCCCAACAAATTACTAGTGTAAAACCATTCAAACGGGAAAACCAACGGTCTAATCTATATAAAAAACGAGAAACGAAAAACACTTATGAACCACATCAACAAACGACAACTATTGAACATCAGATTCCTGACTTAGAACAGGAGCAAACAATTTCAGCGGGTTTTAACGTTTTAATGATATCAAACCTTCACCCTTATCTGAAACAATAGTGTAACATCACAAAATAGAAAGACAAACTATAAAATATCAATTGAAATGGCTTAACTCAATCAAAAGACATATATTAACACAACTGAACATACACTGAACGAATAAATCTGATCAATGATACAATGTAAATACAAAATCAATAAAATAAGGGATGAATAATTAAAGTAACAGTATTATACCGCTGTGAAATGTTAAACAATTTCAGAAAAACAACAATAACCTTAAACAAAAATCCGCCATTTACAATAATATCATACACATGTAAATAAAAATAATTTTGTTGTTAGGTATACAGTTTAAAAGGAGAAAGGAAATATTTTTTCAAAATAAATAATTTTAATGTTCATAGTTCGAAAAAATGAAAATTTAGAGTAATACCAAACACTTATCAAAGCTGGTATATAGACCAGATATAACCCTGAATAAGTAAACATTAAATATGTTTATATTAACAATATCTCGATCAAGTTCGAAAATCAGTGCTCAACAGCTATTGTCCAAGAGGTAATGTCCCTTGCAAATACAAATTTAATGGAAAGTTGCATTTCAGCGGTCTCACGCTTGCATATCTCGTAGGATTTTTATAAAATCTATATTAACACATGGTTGAAAGATATTAGCAATATCTTGAACGAGTTCGAAAATCAGCTCTAATCAATATTTTACAGAAAATATTATGTTCCTTAGCAAAATAAAATTTTATAGAAAACTGCTTTATAAGCACTCTCAAGTGTACAATTCTTGCCATTTATTTATGTGTTTGTATCAAACATTTATGTAAGACATGTCTAGCTCAATTTTGAAATTCATTGCGGATCAACTATTCTGAAAAAGAGTAATGCCCTTGAAAAACATATTTATATATAAAACTGCACAATAAGCGCTCTCACGTCTACATTTCTTGAAGGATAATTATACATTTTATATCAAAGGTTGACATCAGCATTGTCTTTCTATAAAACAGGTTTAATCTACCATTTTCTACATGAGGAAATACCTGTACCAAGTCAGGAATATGACAATTTGTTTTCCGTTTGTTTGATGTGTTTGAGCATTTGATTTTGCCGTTTGATAAGTGAATTTCCGTTTTAAATTTTTCCCAGAGTTTTGTATTTTTGTTATTTTACTTTTTGTTTGAAAAATAACATCTGGGTACATGTATCTTCTATAATTCCTAATTGTGACATACGTTTTAGGCAATTTTTGTCAGCTAGCTATAGTCTCCGCAGATATTGTTGTGTTTTGTCAAATTAATTACATCAAGAGTCAGATGTTTTTCATAGCAATAAAGATAAACCAATATCTTTGGTTTAAAATGTTTATTAACCATACTCAAGCAAAGCATTGTTTCATTAATGACATTGACGGGTTTTGTCAACATCAGCACAGATGGATGACATCAAACTAGAATTCATGACAAATGGGATAATTTCAATATTCCAATCGTTAACTTTCCATTTCCCGGCAGTAAATACCCTCTGCCACATCGTGTAGCGTTTACATATCTCAAAGAATACATTACGCAGGTGCTTGTTAACATTAAATTATCATAAAATTGAGAATGGAAATGGGGAATGTGTCAAAGAGACAACAAACCGACCACAGAACAGACAACAGCAGAAGGCCACCAACAGGTCTTCAATGCAGCGAGAAATTCCCGCACCCGGAGGCGTCCTTCAGCTGGCCCCTAAACAAATATATATACTAGTTCAGTGATAATGAATGCCATACTAAACTCCAAATTGTACACAAGAAACTAAAATTAAAAATAATACAAGACTAACAAAGGCTAGAGGCTCCTGACTTGGGACAGGCGCAAAAATGCGGCGGGGTTAAACATGTTTATGAGATCTCAACCCTCCCCCTATACCTCTAGCCAATGTAGAAAAGTAAACGCATAACAATACGCACATTAAAATTCAGTTCAAGAGAAGTCCGAGTCTGATGTCAGAAGATGTAACCAAAGAAAATAAACAAAATGACAATAATACATAAATAACAACAGACTACTAGCAGTTAACTGACATGCCAGCTCCAGACTTCAATTAAACTGATTGAAAGATTATGTCTTCATCATATGAATATCAGGCACAATCCTTCCCGTTAGGGCTTTAGTATCATACCATCATAACATATATGAGACAGGAGTTTACTCCATACAAAAATACTGCTCAAACAGAGTTATTATGAGCGGATAACCGAAACCGACGTCGACACTACACAAGTTTTTACGGTCACCAACACGAATTGGGTGATTTACATTGGAGTTCATTAATGCATAGCAAGAGAAATTGTCAGTGCAACCTGTCTCTCTCCTTGCTTTTCAGTTTGTGCTTTGTACATAGATTTGTACTTTCTTAATGAATTCAAGTGATTAATGCATGGGAAGAGCCAATGTCAGTGCAACCTGTCTCTCTCCTCGCTTTTCAATAGTTGCTTTTTACATTGATTTGTACTTTCTCAATGGATTCATGGGGTTTGCTCATCGGTATACCTTTGTTGCTACTAGTTCCTTACACTTAAAAAAAGTTAGGGTACCACACATAAAAAATCCAATTCTTTAAAAATTGACTTTACAAGAGTCTATTCTTTTGATTTTAATTGCCCAAAGGACTTAATGTATGCACAAATGATATTTAAATATTTTTTGCAGAACTTTAAGCTCCAACAAAATTTCTAGTATAGATAATGGTGCGTTCTCTGATCTTCAGTATTTGCGTATATTGTAAGTACTTTATCGTTACATGCAAATATGGAAGTAAAGATATTACAAATGCTAACCTTTTCGATCGACAAAATAGATTAATAAGAGATATTTATCATTCCAAATTGTTGAATTGTATTTATATGATAGGGTAATTCTTTCCGTCAGATATTATTCAAAATGTTAGGATCAAATCACTAACTGATAAAAATCAGATCCGTCACATTGCTCATTTAGCTTTGTTTATCCTCCTGTAAGTTCTGAAAATCCCAAATGAGATGATATCAAGACAACTTTTAAAACATATTTTAATCAGCCAATTATTTCAAATAATGCGTTGACACGACACTTTGATCATACATACCCCAACTGTATATGCAGTTTAACACAATTTCTTTAAAATATAAGGAATAAATAAAACCATACTTTCTTAATGAATTCAAGTGATACTTGGTATACTATTGTTGCTACCAGTTTCCAAGACTTTCAAATAAGTTACGGTACCACACCTAAACAATTTAGTTCTTTAAAGATTTATTTTACAAATGTCTATTCTATAATCCTGAATTGCCCAAAGCACTGAATGTATTCACAACTGATATCAACATATTTTTTTTGCAGAGATATCAGCCTCAACGAAATTTCTAATATAGAAGATGATGCGTTTTCTGGTCTTCAGTCTTTATATTCATTGTAAGTTCTTTATTACAAACAGCAAACATTGCAGTAAAAATTGAAAATGCTAACCTTTTCAATCAACAAAATAGATTAATAAGAGAAATGCTGAAAATTCAAGTGATGATACTAAGACAACTTTCAATTCAAATTTTTAAATAGGCAATTATTTCGAATAAAACGTTGACAATTTGATTACACATGCCCCCCCCCCCCCCCTTTTCAAAAAAAAAAACCAAAAAAAAAATGTATAAACAGTTAAAGAAATTTTTTTTTGAAAAATTAAGAAAACTTAAAACCATACCTACTTGAAGAATGTTTACAATCAAGTGTATTAATTTTGAATAACGCAAGGAAATTCTATACTAGTAGTTATATTTTCACATTTCCAGGGGTAGGGGTTCTAAGTCTTGATGGGGTCCATTTAATGTTTTACGTTCATCGAATATAACATTACTGGGTGACCTAAAAAAATATTCTAGGATTTTCAGATAGCGCATTAAATTTTTCAAATTTCCACATTGTTTAATAAATAGAAATACTACAAGTGTGCAATATCTAGCCAACAAAATTAATGATTTATGTCATCACGAATTTTGTTTATCGGAGCAAATTTGCTATTATTTGGTACCTTGGTATTTCACAATGTCATAATAATTATTATCAGGACTTACATCGTAAGAACTCAAAATCGTATTTGTTCCGTTGTGAATGTTATCCCGCAGTTATTATCCATCGGATATAGGACATATATTTATGCAATGGTTTTGTCCATCCCAACGTCCTTTTATATAATATTTTCGTCCTTCGATGTCGGAAGGACTTTATCAATGGCTGATTTTTTTATGTTTTTCATTTTTGAGAATATCCGTAGTCATTGTATTTTTGATAAGGTCACCTGAGCTAACAAATAGTTGCAATGAAGGATGTAAATGTTTTATAAGATATTGGAAGGATATAATATTATTCCATTTTATTTGTAAAAATCCTTTAAAGGTATGATGCATTTTTTTATCTGTTTATCAAATTAAAGGTCAATACAAGAATATGTTTTAAATGTGATGTTTATTTGTCCTGATGAACTCTTATATTGAAAATACAACACTTAAACCTATCATATTTCAATAAGGAAAGCATATCTTATACCTAGTTGTCTCTGTCTGTCTATCTATTTATCCGAAAGACAGAACAACGTGTTTATACAATGCATGACTCATACTCATGTTTTCAATCAACATAAGTCTAATATTTCACAGACATTTCACACATATTAAAGATGTTCAACTTTGATTTTAGACCGATTTTCAATGTGTTGAATTTATGTTTTCTTGTCACTAGATCCATATATGGTACTTCTTTAAGGCATATGTACCATAGATTTTTCTGCAAATTTATTAAAAGAGTCCATTGCATATTAAAATAAATGACAATGTGATGACAAAAAACACCAATAAACGATAAAAAAAACAAACAACAATGTATAAAACAAAACATAGAAAGTCAAAGACGGAGCAACACGTGCCCCACCAAAGACTGGCTGAGATTTGAGGTGGTCCGTAAGGGTGAGCTTATCCTGTTCCACATGTGACACTCGTCGTTTCGCTCATGTAAGTACAAACCCGGTGATAAGTCTAATTCGACAGGTCATATACAAGGAAAAAAAAACGTGATTGTGGTAACGACAATTGGAACAAATCCGTCGTCAAGGACATTCAAAATTGTGCAGAATGATTATATTTAGAATAATAATATTCAAGTTCCTTATTGGATTGATTTGAATTAAACAAGTGGCCACCACGTATCGCGATGCGGTGAACATCGAAATACCGGTCATATGTCCGTCTGATCTTGTAAGCGCCTTTTACGCATGCAATTCTTGTCAGATTATGATAAAATTCATATATAAAGTTTAAATTACCAATATCTTCGGGCAAATTTGAAAACCAGTGCTCAACAGCTGTTTTCAAAGAAGTTATGCTCCTTGCAATTTAATCTTTATGGAAAGTTGCATTTCAGCGCTCTCACGCTTGTGTTTCTTGTAGGATTGTTATCAAATTTATATTGACACATGATTGAAGGTTATATCAGCAATGTCTTGAACGAGTTCAAAAATCAACACTGGCCAATTGATTGTACAGGAAATATCTTCATTAGAGATTTAAAATTTTACAGAAAATTGTTTTATAAGCACTCTCAAGTGTACAATTCTTGCCAGATATTTATGTAATTTGTATCAAATATTTATATCACACATATCTAGCACAATTATGAAAATCAGCGCGGATCAACTATTCCTAAAGGAGTAATGTCCCTTGAAAATATTTATATATAAAACTGCACAATAAGCGCTCTCACACTTGCATTTGTTGGAGGATTATTAAGAATTTTATATAAAGGTTAAGGTCAGCAATGTCTCAGGAAAGTACAACAAACATTTTTGTTTGGTAAGAGTTAGGCCCTTGGAAATGGAAATATATGGAAAGTAACACTGATAGAAAATGTATGCTTACAATTTTTGTAAGATCTTAAATAAAGCTTGATAGAACAAAGTGATTTCTTTCATTTTACTGCCTTTGTACAGATCAAAAACGTACAATGCGTGAGCACTAAAACTTTGTTTGAAAATAACATCTAGGTTTCTTTTATAATTCCTTATTGTGATAGACGTTTTATGCATTCGTTGTCTGCTAGTCTCCGCATATATTGTTATGTAAATGTTTTTTGTGATATTAATTATATCAATAATCAGCTTTTTTTCATTGCAATAAAGATAAACAATTTTTTTGGTTTAAGTCGTTTATTATCCATACTCAAGCAAAGCATTGTTTCATCAATCCCATTGACGGGTTTGGTTAATATCGACACAGAAGGACTACATCAAACTCAAATCTATGACAGCTGGGATGATTTCAACATTCCAATCATTAACTTTCCATTTCCCGACAGTAAATGATTTCTCCCGCATCGCGTAGGCGTTTACATATATCAACTAATACATTACGATTGTGCATGTTGACATTACATCTTCATCTCATTAGCAGGGGTGTGCTCTATACAAAAATACTGCTCAAACAGAGTTATTATGAGCGGATAACCGAACCCGACCCGATTAATGCATGGCAAGAGCCAATGTCAGTGCAACCTGTCTCTCTCCTCGCTTTTCAATAGTTGCTTTTTACATTGATTTGTACTTTCTCAATGGATGCCTGGAGTTTGCTCATCGGTATACCTTTGTTGCTACTAGTTCCTAACACTTAAAATAAGTTAGGGTACCACACCTAAACGATCCAATTCTTTAAAAATTGACTTTACAAGTGTCTATTCTTTTGATTTTAATTGCCCAAAGGACTTAATGTATGCACAAATGATATTTAAATATTTTTTGCAGATCTTTAAGCTCCAACAAAATTTCTAGTATAGAAGATGGTGCGTTCTCTGGTCTTCAGTATTTGCGTATATTGTAAGTACTTTATCGTTACATGCAAATATGGAAGTTAAGATATTACAAATGCTAACCTTTTCGATCGACAAAATAGATTTATAAGAGACATTTATCATTCCAAATTGTTGAATTGTATTTATATGATAGGGTAATTCTTTCCGTCAGATATTATTCAAAGTGTTAGGAACAAATCACTATCTGATAAAAATCAGATCCGTCACATTGCTCATTTAGCTTTGTTTATCATCCTGTAAGTTCTGATAATCCCAAATGAGATGATATCAGGACAACTTTTAAAACAAATTTTAATCAGCCAATTATTTCAAATAATGCGTTGACACGACACTTTGATCATACATACCCCAACTGTATATGCAGTTTACCACAATTTCTTTAAAATATAAGGAATAAATAAAACCATACTTTCTTAATGAATTCAAGTGATAATTGGTATACTATTGTTTCTACCAGTTTCCAACACTTACAAATAAGCTACGGTACCACACCCAAACAATTTAGTTCTTTAAAGATTTATTTTACAAATGTCTATTCTATTATTCTCAATAGCCCAAAGCACTAAATGTATTCACAACTGATATCAACATATTTGTTTGCAGAGATATCAGCCTCAACGAAATTTCTAGTATAGAAGATGATGCGTTCACTGGTCTTCAGTTTTTGGCTGTACTGTAAGTTCTTATTATAAACAGCAAATATGGAAGTAGAAATTAAAAATGCTAACCTTTTCGATCGATAAAATAGATTTATAAGAGAAATTCTAAAAATCCAAAATGTGATAATACTAAGACAACTTTCAATTAAAATTTTTAATCAGGCAATTATTTCGAATAATACGTTGACACTTTGATTACACATATCCCTCCCCCTATCCCCCCTCCCAAAAAAAAATAATACAACATGTATAAACAGTTTAGCAAAATTTCATTGAAATATAAAGAAAACTTGAACCCATACCTACTTGATGGATGTTTGCAATCAAGTGTATAAAAAATCTATACTAATAGTAATAATTTCACATTTCCAAGGGTGAGGGTTCAAAGTCTTGATGAAATTCACCGTTCAATTTAATGTTTAACGTTTATTGAATATAACATTACTGGGTGACCTAAAAAACAAGTCTGGGATTCTTATATTTAGATAGCACATTAAATTTTTCAAACTTCAACATTGTTTAATAAATAGAAATACGCTGCAAGTGTGCAATATTTAGCCTAAATAATGATGATTTATGTCATGATGAATCGGAAGGCTTATATGCATTCATAATTTAGTTGTGTTATATACACATCTATGCTACTAAAATAACGAGGTCCAATTATTTATCCTGCATGACGTAAAAACGACGAATCAAAGAATTCAACTTTATATATAAATTATATAGGACAAGGTGTTGTTTAAAAATTACACTATATTAGGCCCTTTTGTTTTCCACATAATTAATATTACCAACAATTAACAGGTTCCGGGTCGAATCTGATACCGATACCAATAGTATGGGTCACATGTAGTTTCCGTTACCTGTTACCTTCTGTTAACCACTCCTCTATCAGGATAACCTGGAATTCTTACAGTGCAGTTGTTTTATATACATGTATATGTTATACTACAGTACATTATTTAACAAGTCTGTTTTCTTCCACCGCAATACCAATATTTATTTTGGTTGTTTTTAGTTAAAAAATAATTTTAGTTTATAGTAAGTTTATTTTGGTAAGAAAACCAAGACGGGTTCAAACACAAAGCTTTTGAAAACGGAGCATACTTTGCAACTAACAATCAGCCTTACTTTATAAGATGACAATACAAATACTAAAATCCAGGCTAGAAATAAGGCAGGCATACTTTAATTCAGTTACGGACCAGCGATGTCGCGGGTGTGTTCTAGTAATGTTTAAAATATTTGTTAAACGGAACAAGTTTGCTATTATTTGGTACCTTGGTATTTCACAATGTCATAATGATTATTATCAGGACTAACATCGCTTCAGTCATTGTATTTACGTAAGAATGCAAAATCGTATTTGTTCCGTTGTGAATGTAATCACGAAGTTATAATGCATTGGATATCGGACAGATTTTTATGCAATGGTTTTGTCCATCCCAACGTTCTTTGATAGCACATTTCCGTCCTTCGATGTCTGAAAGACTTAATCAATGGTTGATTATTTTATGTTTTTCATTTTTGAGAATATCCGTCATTGTATTTTTGAAAAGGTCATCTGTTGCTAACAAATTGTTGCAATTAAGGATGTAAATATTTTATAAGATATTGGATGGATATAGGAGAGCATATCTAGTACCTAGTTGTCTCCGCCTGTCTATTAATCTATCCGAAAGACAGAACAACGTGTTTATACAATGCGTGACTCATACTCATGTTTTCAATCAACATAAATCTAATATTTCACAGACATTTTATATATATTAAAGATGTTCAACTTTGATTTTGGACCGATTTCCAATGTGTTGAATTTTTGTTTGTTTTTTGTTTTTGTCACTAGATCTATATATGGTACTTCTTTAAGGCATATGTACCATAGATGTTCCTGCAAATTGATTGAAAGATCCCATTGCATATTAAAATAAGTGACAATGTGATGACAAAAAACACCAATAAACGATAAAAAACATACAACAATGTACAAAACAAAACATAGAAAGTCAAAGACTAAGCAACACGTGCCCCACCAAAGACTGGCTGAGATTTGAGGTGGTCCGGAAGGGTGAGCTTATCCTGTTTCACATGTGACACTCGTCGTTTCGCTCATGTAAGTACAAACCCGGTGATAAGTCTAATTCGACAGGTCATATTCGAGGAAAACGTTATTGTGGTAACGACAATTGGAACAAATTCGTCGTTTCTGACATTAAAAATTGAGTAATATGATTACATTTAGAAATATAATATTCAAGTTCCTTATTGGATTAATTTAAATTAAATAAGTGACCACAGTGTATCGCGACGCGGGGAGTCATTCTAGGATCCGTTCATTTTATTTTGTAAGTGGTATTACATTAACAACTCTAGTCAGATTATGATGAGATTCGTGTATAAAGTGTATATCACCAATATTTTGAGTGAGTTCGAAAATTAGTGCTCAACAGCTATTTTCAAAGAAGTTATGCCCATTGCAAATTAAAACTCTATGGACAATTGCATTTCAGCGCTCTCACGCTTGTGTTTTTGTAGGATTGTTATGAAATTGATATTGACACATAATTGAAAGATATATCAGCAATGTCTTGAACGAGTTCGAAAATCATCGCTGGCCAATAGATTGTACAGGAAATTAGTTCCTTAGAGATGTAACATATTATAAAAAATTGTTTTGTAAACACTCTCAAGTGTACAATTCTTGCCAGATATTTATGTAATTTCTATCAAACATTTATATCCTACATGTCTAGCACAACTATGAAAATTATTGCGGATCAACTATTCCTAAAAGAGCAACGCCCCTTGAAAAAAGTAGAATAACAAAAATACCGAACTCCGAGGAAAATTCTAAACGGAAAGTCCCTAAACAAATGGCAAAATCAAAAGCTCAAACGAATGGATTACAACTGTCATATTCCTGACTTGTTACAGGAATTTTCTTATGTAGAAAATGAAAAACATATTTATATTGATAATTGTACAATAATGGCTCTCACATCTACATTTGTAGAAGGATTATTAAGAATTTGATATTAAAGATTGATATCAAACATGTCTTGAACGTGTTCGAAAATCAACGCTGGCCAATTGATTGTGCAGGAAATATGTCCCTTTGGGATGTAAAATTTTATAGAAAATTGTTTTGTATACACACTCAAGTGTATAATTCTTGCCAGATATTTATGTAATTTCTATCAAACATTTATATCCTACATGTCTAGCACAACTATGAAAATTAGTGCGGATCAACTATTCCTAAAAGAGTAACGCCCCTTGAAAAAAGTAAAATAACAAAAATACCGAACTCCGAGGAAAATTCTAAACGGAAAGTCCCTAAACAAATGGCAAAATCAAAAGCTCAAAAGAATGGATTACAACTGTCATATTCCTGACTTGTTACAGGAATTTTCTTATGTAGAAAATGAAAAACATATTTATATTGATAATTGTACAAAATGGCTCTCACATCTACATTTGTTAAAGGATTATTAAGAATTTGATATTAAAGATTGATATCAAAAATGTGTTGAACGTGTTCGAAAATCAACGCTGGCCAATTGATTGTGCAGGAAATATTTTCCTTTATGTAATTTCTATCAAACATTTATATCCTACATGTCTAGCACAACTATGAAAATTAGTGCGGATCAACTATTCCTAAAAGAGTAACGCCCCTTGAAAAAAGTAAAATAACAAAAATACCGAACTCCGAGGAAAATTCTAAACGGAAAGTCCCTAAACAATTGGCAAAATCAAAAGTTTAAACACATCAAACGAATGGATTACAACTGTTATATTCCTGGCTTGGTACAGGCATTTTCGTATGTAGAAAATGAAAAACATATTTATATAGACAATTGTACAATAAAGGTTCTCACAATATACATTTGTTGTTGATGATGATGATGATGATGATGGGAGTTTTTTAACGAGCTTGATTGGCTATACAGCCTTCGCACGGTCGGTTATACATTTGTTAAAGCATTATTAAGAATTTGATATCAACAGTTGATATCAGAAATGTGTCGGGAGAGTTCATCAAACATTTTTTGGGCAAGATTTAGGCCCCTTGGAAATGAAAATATATGGAAAGTAACACTTATAGAAAATGTATGCTTACATTTCTTGCAAGATCTTAACTAAAGCTTAATAGAACAAACTAATATTTTTTTTGTTTTATTTTACCACCTTTGGACAGATTAAATACGTACAACGCGTGACCATTGACTCTTTTCTTGTTTGAAAATAACATCTAAGTTTCATTTAAAATTTAAATAGACGTTTTAGGCATTTTTTGTCCGCTAGTCTCCGCATATATTGTTATGTTAATGTGTTTTGTGACATTAATTATATCAAGAATCAGTTGTTTTTCATTGCAATAAAGATAAACCATTTTCTTTGGTTCAAGATGTTTATCAACCATACTCAAGCAAAGAATTGTTTCATAAATGCCATTGACGGGTTTTGTTAATATCGGCACAGAAGGACGACATCAAACTCAAATCTATGACAGTTGGGATGAGTTATAATGAGCGGATAACCGAACCCGACGTTGACACTACACTAGTTTTTACGGTCACCATCACGAATTTTTAGATTAACATTGGAGGTGATTAATGCATAGCAAGAGCCATTGTCAGTGTCACCTGTCTCTCTCCTTGCTGTTCAGTAGTTGCTTATGCATTGATTTGTACTTTCTGAATGGATTCACGGGGTTTGCTCATCGGTATACTATTATTGCTACTAGTTTCTAACCCTTAAAAATAAGTTACGGTACCACTTCCAAACAATCCAGTTTCTTAAAGATTGACTTTACAAATGTCTATTCTTCTAATTTGAATTGCCCAAAGCACTGAGTTTATGCACAAATGATATTTAATTTTTTTTGGCAGAACTTTAAGCTCCAACAAAATTTCTAGTATAGAAGATGGTGCGTTCTCTGATCCTCAGTCATTGCTTCAAGTATAAGTAATTTATCGCTACATGCAATTATGGAAGTAAAGATATTACAAATGTTGACCTTTTCGATCGACAAAATAGATTAATGAGAGGCATTTATCATTCCAAATTGTAAAATTGTACGTATATGATAAGGTCATTCTTTTCGTACAGATTTTATTCAAAATGTTTGGAACAAATCACTATCTGATAAAAATCAGATCCGTCACATTGCTCCTTTAGATTTGTTTATTCTCGTGTAAGTTCTGAAAATCCCAAATGAGATGATATTAAGCCAATTATTTCGAATAATGCGTTGACACGACACTTTGATCATACATACCCCCATCTGTATATACAGTTTAACACAATTTCATTGAAAAATAAGGAATAAATAAAACATAGCAACTTGCAAACAGTTTACAATTAGGGTGGTGTATATAATCGGAACGACGCAAGGACATTCTATACTAGAAGATTCAAGAGCAAATTTCCGACTTTTTTATCTTGTTTAATGGTTCTAATATTTTCACAATGCAGGGAATATGGTCCAGTGTTGATGAAACTCAACGTTACATTTTTTGTTCAAATAATTTTTTGAAATTGATCATTTGTGGGTACCCTTATTAACAATCGAAAACACTGGTGGCCAATAATATTGTTTTATTCTGCAAGATATAGACAGCAGAAGATATGGTATGATTGCCAAGGAGACGACTCTCTACCTGAACGTATATATATATGGTTAACAGTTATTAAACACATCGACAATTCTTCGATTCTCAGAAAGCACATTTAATTTTTAAACTTCCACACAAAAAGTTTATCGTTTAACTCCCGCATTAAGATAAAAAAAAATGAATATCACAGGGAAGGTGTGTTATACGAAAAGAAAACTTTAAAATAAGATTATTTAATAACGCTTCTAACGTCTCATTTTGTATCACGGTTGTTCACTTATAGAAAATGAGAATGTCTAGTAATTTGATAGTAAAAAAATGCGATTTATAAATGAAAATAGTACTGAACTGGCACGAAGAAAGCTCAAAATCGTAAGCATCAAGTACCACGGAAAACTGATATATAGGTCATAGCGGTCATAGTACGATAACCAATACGATGTGCATCTTGACGTGTGCATTTTGTAGCTTTTTTTTTTTTATATAATCCTACATATCATTGTGATATAACTTCCATTTTGTGTTGAAATAATAGCAGAGGATAAAACTAACTGTGCTTTATCAAACTACTTACATTTATAAGCATCATAAATATGATAACTTATTTAAAAGTAAAATTTATTTAAAACGATCACTTATTGACGTGTTCTCGTTGATGTATGTTAACGACTGTTTAAACCGCATCTGGTTAAAATGGCATTGCATATCATATTATTTTCTGTTGTTGAATTTTATGCTTTTGTTTGAATGTTGGTGATCTTAACATTTCAGTGCTATAGATAATAATAATTTGACAACGGTATCCGCTAATATATTTGACAAAGTGACAGATCTTATTGAATTGTGAGTACCATTGCCATATGAAATTATGATATTACTTGATTTTTTCCCAAAGATACTTTTTTAAATACATTAACTTGATTTTTAAGTTCACTCAAATTTTTTTTTGCATTCAATATTATTTTGTTCTGTATCTATCGTTTCAATCAGGTTAGTCATTTTATTTGTGTTCACAAGCTGTATTCTAAAACTGATTTCATTGAAAGTCTGAAAGGAAACACATGTTAAGGTGACAAAAGAAAATATATTTTTAGATATTCAAAATTACGTGTTGTAGGTATCTTCGTGGTAACCCATTGATATGCTGTACAATGGCTGATTTTTTTGAATGGCGACTAAATCAAAACAATATTACGGAATCTGACGGCACTTGTACTGATTTAAACTCAACCATTGACATCAACAGTTTTAATGTATCAAAGTGTCCAAGTAAGTATTAAGTTGTTTTATTTAAAGAGTAATTGACTCCATAGTTGTGCCGGTAGAGGACACACACGCGTCATTACAGTATACTTTTTACGTTATATTCGATTTATAACTGTACTATTTCCTGTAAATTACGTGATGATATCAAACAATTACTATAATAATTGTAAATGATTTCAGTGGTTAATTTGATATAGTATTGAATGTTGTTATTGTCTTTATACACAAAAAAATTCAAGTGACATTTCACTATGCAAATATGCAAGCACGCAAGCGCTTATTGCTAAAAATGATGATCACTTGCTTTCTTCTTTCGTGTAAATTTTCAAAACACATCATTCAATTCTTATATATGCAGATTTTCAAAAATACACAAATATATATTATTCACATTTTGAATCTATAAGTAAAACTTTAAACACAAAACTACGTCATAAATTGTCTAGTGTGATGAAAGAAGTACCATACCACCTGAAATTGATTAAATATGTTTCCACATTTACAAGAAAAAGCAGCTATCACGAGGGAGAGAAAAATTAAGTGCTTTGAACTATATTATTTCTTTTTCTGTTCTTAAACAATATTAAAGATATCTAATACCATCATTTACAGGAGGATTTTCGCCCGAATCTATAATGGTATAACGATATATATGTATATGTTCATCTATATTATATGTATAAAAACATTCTTTGATATCACTCATAACACTTTTGCATCATCTGAGTAAAAATAACTATTCAAAGATTACAATTGCAAGCACTGACATTTAAGACATACCTTTTTTTAGAAAAGTTATTTTAGAAACATGACGATAATCAACGTAACAATTGTAAAGATTTTTTTTTTTTGTTATTCATTATAAGAATTAAGAAATCCTTTAAAAAATGTTTATATTTGAAAGTTGATAGCGGATGGAGCTCTTGGGTGAACTCAACATGTTCCGTCACATGTGGAAACGGTATTCTATCCAGAATTCGAACTTGTGACAGCCCATTACCTTCCGCCGGTGGAAATGATTGTGAAGGGTCTAGTGAAGAATCAATAAAATGCAGCTTAAATGATTGTCCAGGTATTTGTAAATACGGGATTCTAAAATAAAATCCATACATGTGTACCTAATCATGTATCCGATTTATTGGTAAGACAGAGAGACTAAAAAACGAGGAAGAAAAACAAAAATAAAAAAGGTTTATGTACTATTATTTTATTTATTTATGTATTTCTCTGTCTTTGCTGTTTTTGGATTTATTTGTACTCTGTTCCCGTCATGTAATGTTATCATTTTAGCGGTATATTTAACATTGCCATAAAGCGCGGAGGTTTGACTAGGCACAAAACCAGGTTCAACCCACCATAGTTTGTTTCTATGAATGTTGCATTGTTGTTTGTTTTTTGTTGCACTACTGTGTTCCGTTATTTCGTTGTTTTCCTCTTATAGTTGATGTGTTTCCCTCGGTTTTAGTATGTAACCCGGATTTGTTTTCTCTCAATCGATGTATGACTTTTGAACAGCGGTATACTACTGTTGCCTTTATTTGTAATTAAGGATCTTCGTTTTGAGCATGGTACAACATTCATGAATCTGACTAATTAACGGACTGCTTTGTATCATATTAAATGTTGGTTTAATTGAGTGTTCCGGGGGATAATTGACTAAGAAAAACGTTCTGAAGACAAGACATTCATAAAGTGTCATTTATATTTAAAAGCTTAGTACGGAGTTGAACTGGATACCGATGTTAATAGGGGAGAACTGTTTAGGAGATAACTGTATTGTATTAGGTTTGCCAAGATGAAACATATTTTTTCTGTTGCAATTTAAGTAATCTAACGCAATAGAGGTAAGCAAAGTGATATCCGCACCAGTTAAACATATATTACGCAGTCACATAAAATACAATACAGTTATTTCCATTTAAACGTGCAATTAACATATAATCCGGCGTTAAACGCAAATGTCAGACAATTGTTGGCTCTCTGTAAGCTTCAGAACAAATAAAGCTTGACATAAGATATAATTTCAGGTGAGAAATCTGCAAATTTATTTGTGAATATAAGAAATTGCATGCCAATATATTCCGAAATTCAAGATGTGGTCTCACTTATTTATGAACTGCTTTACTGTAGAATTTACCCGTCATAATCTATGTTGTTGTCAAATCAATATCGTGACCACAAACAATTTTATAAAAATAAGGTATACATACAATATATGTACATTGTCGGAAAATATAAAATTTATTTGTATGAGCTTTAGAAACAGGACGAAAAGCGACGCTCGCCGAGCTTTTCTCCTGTTTCGTATCGAGTACAAATAAATCTTATATTTTCGACAATGTACATATATGTTTTATCCTGAAATTTACATCCAACACTTAAACCTTTAGTTGTAAAAATCTAAATCACTGTCTAATTTTTCAAAGAAATTGACATAGTTTAAACGCAAACCGCGAAGAGGACCCCAAAATGAACTGTTACGCAAAAAGAAATACCAACATTACCGCTTGCTCAACATGGAAGCGGGGTAACAGGAGACTTTATTTGTAACAATACAAATAAAGCAAAAATTTATTTGTGTACCTGTTATTTGTACAATAGTTGGCTGATTGCAGGATAAATCGTTTTAAACATACTAATACTTTATTTGATTATTTGTATGTTAACAATCACCAAATCAACGCAGGCACGTAGACAAATGTGTCAATGATGTACTCACTAAACAAAATTGAGCAGTATTTGTTTTGTCGATACTAAATGTTCATAAAGAAACAATTAAGACTAATATTCACACCATAAACGAAGTTAAGTCAACCTCCCTATGTCATATACTTCATGTAGTCAAATATCAAACGAAAAAAGTTGTGATTTACTTTTTTTGGACTGCAGTAGGTTTAAACCAATTATACACTGAAAAAAGTAAATCTACTGGTCATTGTGAAGACATTTGTAACTTACTGGGTAGATGCGTGTTTAACGGATAATGCAAATAACGAATATTATGTCAAATAGATTAGTAGAAAAACCTCCATCAATTACACTTAAAATGTAAAAGATTTCTCACGATTCATTTGTATTTTTTGTTTAAAGATTTGCTAAACTTATGCTAACTTTGCTTAACTTGGTGTTGGTATGCCGTAAATACTACACGGACGTTCTTAAGAACGAAATTTTAAATTCGTCTACATTCAAGTCCGTGTGCTCCACAAAGAGTCATATAGTAAACAAACATATCATAACCACATCACAGCTTAAGGCCTCTTCTGAACATTTGAAGGTCCCTACTATGTATTGGTTACCTACACTACACAAAAATATCGTTTCATCTCGGAAGCTAGTAAGTGTTCTACAACTAATCTTTCAGTGCTTTTAACTAGTTCCTTAACTACTATCAAATAACTTATCATAAACTTTTGTAATAAAATATATGAAAATAGTGGAAGATTTTGATGAATGTAATCTATGTATTACTGGTGAATTATTAAGACAGGAATTTCGTGACCACAAATTTTTAGCCATGGCGTTGTCAGTTTATTTTCAATCTATGAGTTTGACTGTCCCTCTGGTATCTTTCGTCCCTCTTTTACTTAAAACCTTTAGTAAATTCTTCCATAAATATAAAGATTTGGTTTTGAAGTTTGATTGTACCTGTAGAAAACTTATTTCAAACGGGATAACACATCCTCATTTTTCCGGAGATGTTGTTTACTGTGCCCTGACATTGAGAAACGATCCTGGTAAACTTATCGATTCTTTAAATAAACTTATTCTAAAAGGTTACCAATTCAACACTGTAATTAGATCTTTGAATATTGTTTTTATTGGTATAAATATTGATTTTGTTATCAGTAAATTAAAAGCAAACTAAATATTATTGTTATATACATATGCACTTTCATGGATCTACAATCCGTCGATACCTGTATCTTGGCATTGCACAAGGTCATGTTTTTTTCTCTGACTGTTTATGACGCTTTAAACTAAATCCATTGGATGTTGGATGTGTACTGATTGATAATTTAGTCTTAGGTGCATGATTTTTTTTATTAGTTGTTTTTGGCTTTAAACTAGCGGTCAGTAACTGCGAGTACTCTCAGATCTGTACTTAGTGTCTTTTTGTTGTTGGGATGTACAAGTACCCGGCCACGTCAACTCTGCATTTTTGTTAGATGTATTTCTAAATGTATCCATCTGATGAGTTAAGCCTTATTCAACTGGTTTTTATAGTACGTTCTTAAGTTGTACTGTTAAACCACTGTCCCAGGTTAGTGGGATGGTTGGGATCCCGCTAACATGTTTAACCCCGCCACATTCCGTATGTATGTGCCTGTCCCAAGTCAGGAGCCTGTTATTCAGTGGTTGTCGTTTGTTACATATTTGTTTTTCGTTCATTTTTTTGTACATTAATTAGGCTGTTAGTTTTCTCGTTTGAATGGTTTTACATTTGTCATTTCGGGGCCTTTTATAGCCGACTATGCGGTATGGGCTTTGCTCATTGTTGAAGGCCGTATGGAGACCTATAGTTTTTAATTTCTGTGTCATTTGGTCTCTTGTGCAGAGTTGTCTGATTGGCAATCATACCACATCTTCTTTTTTATATTATGAACAAAAAACCATTTGTTTTTTAAATAACACAGCTTAATCTCTCAAAATAAATAAGAAGATGTGGTATGAGTGCCATTGAGACAAAGGTCTTTTGCGAACAAGACTTTTAACCCCAAAAACCCATATCGATATCCTTTAATTCTAACAGCAAGCGCCAATTACTTTTTGCAATTTTGCTTAGAAATCGTTCATATAAGTTTAATTAGTTAATTTTGGGATGGTTATATTTTCTTTTCTCTATCCAATTGAATGAACAGCTGAGCTTGTATAACATTTCATATCATATGGCATCTGATGAAAAGCTGTATCTATATTGAAATCTTTTTGTGACAAAAAACAGACACTGCTAAGTTACACACAGCCAATTTAATAATAGAGATACGTTTTATTAACGTAATTGTGTGTTTGGAATTTACAATTGGTTCAACGGAAATCGCACTTACCTTTTTTCTAATTAATCGATATAGTCATAAGCCTAAAAAGATAAAAGTTTTGAAAACAATAATGCTGTCAAATATCAATTATGTATATAAACTTTAAAAACTAATTCAAATAAAGTTTGATCTGTTAAAGTTGATGGTCAGTGGGGCTCCTGGTCGACTGGACCATGTTCTGTCACATGTGGTAATGGCATTAGATATAGAAATAGACGTTGTGATAGCCCACCAATTTCTAACAATGGACAAGATTGTATTGGTTCCAGCACACTCTCTGTGATTTGTAGCTTAGGCGTTTGTCCAGGTAACTTAACATATAAAGCAAGAAAGTATTACTAATCTTGATTTATGACGTTCGAACATCGATAAACCATTGTTTGCTCTAAATATTTGTTGTATTAACCGCAAATCAATTTGGTAGCTTGTTTTTTTAAATTATTTGTAAGGATTAATTCCTTGAACATTTAAGTGTTTTAAATGTTGATGATATTGACTCATTTAGTATGTTCGCCCCTCTGTTTAAATATTACCAGATTTTTAAAATAAAATTGAGAATGGAAGACTTTTTAAATTGATAGTATATAAAGAATTGGAACTTAGGAAGCAGAGAAAAAAAATGAAAGGTCCATGTTCTTGTTTTTTTTTTTTAGGTATTAGCAATTGACAAGTTAGCGGGAAACAATTCTCTCTGGATTTTTCATACATTTAACATTGAGACCCTAATTCTTTCAAAAACTATAAAAAAATAACAAGGATTTTATAAGATTTTCAAAAATGGCTTTTTGAACTATATGTAATGAAATTATGAAAAGAAAGTGGGGGTTAGCCGACAAAATTCTTAAAGGTACTACATAGATAATACTAGATGATTCTGAATATCTGAAAAAAAAAAGTCAAAAACAGGAGTATCGAACATCCTTAAAGAAGATAGAGCGATAAAACAATCACATTTAAATTCAGGGTGGCAATTATTGGGTAAATTTTACTGAATGAAATTTAGCATGATTCTTGATCTTTATCCTATGTTTTAAATCCCTAATATTGTGTTTAATGAACAGCTTCTTATTTGTACATATCAGTAGGTAATTGATCATACCACACGTTAGGAAACACTTGCTTCAACTGAAGGCATAGATGAAGGACCATGTTGTTAAATGAATTAAAATTTTCATTGTTATATAAAAAATTAATAGATGTTGTCGATAACTGTGTGATAACTAACAACCAGAGACAAAATTACGAGGATGTAACAAACTAAAGGTCACCGTACGGGTTTCAACTATGAGAAATACTGATACTGTATTGTAAATGTAGGACATGACAGCATACAGCCCTCAACAATGAGAAATACTCATACTGAATCTTTACTTTATGTCGTGACAACATAAGACCTTCAATAATGAAACAATTTATATCGTATTGTTAGTCCCGGATGTAACAAAATATGAAACGAGTAAAACAGGAAACAATTTGCCTGATGTGTGCCAAACAAATGAATAAAAACATATATTGTAGACGAGCAAACACATCAACCATTTTGTTGCAGACTCCTGATTTTTAAAAGGCAATTAAAGAGTGTGTCGTTGTTTAAAATGTTTTGGAATGCTCAGCCTTCTGCCAAACCTCTTACAGTTGTGTACCAATATCTAATGCAATTATAACAAAATGTAAATGTCACGGGTTTTATTTGCGGAATAATACACATATGTTTTATTATTCATTATAATAGTAATTTTGTCAGGAATATTTCTGTACATTGATATTCGAGCTACTTAGTTTTATTGTACTTGCTCAATACGAGGAGTAATTAACATAAACAAAAGGCGCATTGGTAATTACCTTTAATTTACTTTCCCTTCAAAGCATTACTAATGGATTAAAGGATATATAAATATCAAATTCGAAAAAAAATATTCTTAATCGATGTCATGAGTAATAGTCTTACATGAATGTCTAATGTGACGAGCAGACTAATTGACTTTGCCAGAAGAGAAAAATATATACTGAAAAGAAGATGTAAACTTGACAAAAACAATTAATTCTTATCATGTAATTTTTTGTGATACTATTTGAATTAATTTAATCAAGCTGGCCACTTGCATTGAATGTTTATTATTGTATTTACAGAATCATGTAAAGAATCAGGAAAGAAAGCAGGTAAATGATACGCACATCTAATTTTTTGCTTCCCATTTTATGTAATGAAGCGCTGTAATTTTATGCTCACACTACGACTGCAAGTACAATGTGTCCGGTCTTTTCATCCTATCCTTCGATTCGTCTATTCATCGTCCCCAATAAAGTTAAAAAATTTTGTCGATATATATTTCCAGGAATTTTTGGTCACATTTCCTCTAACTTAATACTTATATTCGTTATGATGTGACATATCTAAATCTTCGTATTATGGAGTTTTTCGACACCTTTGTTGTGTTTGTTACCATGATTTGAATTCTCAATCGATTCATGTATTTGAAAATGTAAAAATATTATTATCTTAATTCAGTAAACAACTCGACATGATAGATTAAGGGATTACATTTGAATGATTTATATGATATATGGAAATATGTGTATGTATATGTAGAGAAATATCGTCTATTAGAGATATTAGTTTTGAAACAACGGGAACGTGTCGGTTTTTGTGACATTTCAAATATCATTTAACCAACACAGTATTAAGGTTTTTTTAAATCAATTTTGATAATGGGATTTAACATGCTTAAGTTCTCCTTTGCCATGCTCTTGCAAATTTAAATTATTTTTTAACTTAATTCCTTAGTATAGCTAAGACAAAACTTTAATATAGCTTTTGTAAACATGTTTGATAACATTAAAATCAAATATTAAAAGTACCATATTCAAATTGACATTTGCATACAACAATGAAAGTTATGTGTCTGATTATCCTTTTTGTATTGTAGAATCAAAGAAAATGAAAGCAAGTAAAAGGAAAAGATATCAGAATAGACAACTGAATAGAAGAGCAGCAACACACAACAAATAACGTGTACTGCATGTTTGTCTTGTAACTAAAGGAAGATGCAGGACAAAGGAATAACTATTTCTCAAATAAATTAAGAGGAATTTTATCTTTAATCTATGTTTCATTTCTGAATGTTAATCATTTGTTATGGATATATTACCTTTCTTCTTTCTCTTTTAACAATTTTTGGGTTAGTTCAATATCAGACTGAGTTATAATTTGAATTTAAAAATTGCAGATCAATATGTTTCTATATAAACCATCAACCAATCTGTATGAATATGTTTTTTTGGAAAATCAGAAGTAAAGAATTTGATTTCATTTTTATTTGTTAATAAATATTGATTTCAACTTTGTGTATTATTTCTGCCATATACGAACCAACAGATATTTGGTTTTTACCATTCCTGGTATAGATATATCACGTAACAAAAATATCAAACTCCAAAGCAAAAAAAAAAAAAAAACGGAAGTCCATAAACACTGAAAAAATCAAACGCTATCAATCAACTAATCGGAACAAGTAAAAAAAAACTTGCCATATCCATGACTTGGTGTAGGCATTTTCCGAAGTTAAGGGCTTCGAATGCATACAATTTTTAATGTGTTATCTTACTTTTCTAGCCCTAGGTCGATTTCTTGAGGATATCCTCAGCTCAGTAGACAGAGCCTAAGTACTGTCATAATTAATAGTATTCATTTCTTAAATTTACCGTTGATTGATATTATTATTATGAAATTGAAAATAAATCTTTAAAGTTAAGGTTTTAATTTTTCACACAAACTCAATTCTGAAGGATTTGTTATTTGTTCAGGTCCGTTTAGTTCTTCGCACGTTTCGTTATCTATACATCCTTGGCTTTCAAATTTGTGGCTTTGATCATTCTTCAATAAGTTAAATCCAGAAAACCGCTTAAAAAAAAGACATTTTCAACAAAAATTACACTTCCGTTTTTTTTACAATAAAGGAAACTGTTTGTCCATTTTCTTTTAGCATCAACTTTATTTCATCTTAATTATGCTGTGTTATGAAAACAGCTATTATAGTGTAGTAGGGTAAATTGTTTCGTATAATAGTATATTTCAGTGAAATGTTGCATGTTATAGTATAGTGTGGTTAATTGTTGTATTTGGTATATAGACTTTATGATTGTCGGTCGTTGAAGTTGGTAAGCGTACCTGTAGGTGTCTTTTATAGTTACGTCGTTTGGTTGCTGTCTATTTGAAGCTGTACATGTATCAAAAAAGAGACTTGTATTTCTATATATTATATATTTAAGAATGGTGTGTCGTCAATTATGTCAATACTACAGCACAGAATTCTAAGCTGATTATACCATTCGGAACTAATCGTTCACCGGTAGCGCTTGAGCAAATGGTAGTTAATCATATCAAATCTTCATAAATTTCAATTATCGTTTCAAAACTCATCAAAGTATAACTGTATAAATAAAAGTGAGGCGAATGATACCAAACACGCAGTCAAGTCGAAAACGAGCTGACAATGCAATGGCACAAAAAAAAATAAGTAAAAGACAAACAACAGTATACAAAGCAAAAAAATAGAAAACTAACGAATGAGCAACACGACCCCCACTAAAACCCGGAGTCACCTCACATACTCTGTAATGCCAAGCAGATCTTGATACACATTTTGCACTCGTCGTGTTGCTTTTTAAGTACAAACCCGGTGATAAATCTAGTTGTTTTGGTCACATTCGAGGAAAAACGGACTTGCTTGTGCTTATACTTACAACTGGAACATACCCGTCGTCATCTGTGAAACAGATAATTCCACAAAGTGATGGCATCCAAATTTTTCAAATGGATGACTTCAACGTCATCATACAGAACTCTTGCTTTACTACCTTCCTTCTAAGCAGCAACCCTCTATCCAGAAAATACTAATAGAAATAAAGCTCTTTAATATCGTGCAAATTAGGAGATATATAATCCATATGCAGGCGCTGTTTGAATGTTGCAACATAGAAATGGAAAGTTAACAATTTAGAAGCTTAAAGCATCTCTTTGACGTTAAGTCACTTTGTTTGTCAAGAAGTCAATATTAAGGCAGACCTAAATGTATATGTTGTATCCTTTATTCCAACTTGAATGAGGTGAATGCGTTTTTCGCCATGGTCATCATAGACACAGAAACTGTTAAAAACTCCGTTTATTCAGATATATCCCAATCTGAGTACTTTTAAATCTGTATGAATTTGGTGGAATAAAAACGTTTGCTGTGCGTCAAACCTCCTCTAACCAATGACAATTGTGCAACAGCACAACAAAAGAACAACACAAAATCAGTCGAATAAGGTTAAACTCTTTATGTCGATACAAACCACAAACACAACTAACAATATCACAAAAGACAGAAAGGTACAGATCTGATAGTACTAAAATTGAGAATGAAAATGGGGAATATGTCAAAGAGACAACAACCCGACCAAAGAGCAGACAACAGCCGAAGGCCACCAATGGGTCTTCAACGCAGCGAGAAAATCCCGCACCCGGAGGTGGTCCTCAGCTGGCCCACAAATAAAATTGTGTACTAGTTCAGTGAAAATGGACGACATACTAAACTCCAAAACATATAAATGAACTAAAATAAAAAAACACACAAGACTAACAAAGGCCAAAGGCTCCTGACTTGGGACAGGCGAATAAATGCGGCGGGTTTAAACATGTTTTGTGAGATCTCAGCCCTCCCCTATACCTCTAGCCAATGTACTACCAATTTCGAACATTCAACATGATCAACAATAAGATATAAAAATGATTTTGTTCATCAACAAAATATGAGTATCGAAAGAATGTAGGACCGTGAATGTTTATAGGTGTTTTTTTTCAATAATATTTAGTCGTGTTTTAATTTATTGATAACAAATCAATATTAAAACCGATAAAAAAAACCATACAAAGACATAATAACAATATTATACCTTATGTATGGCGATAAATAGTGATTTCCATGAGTTTGATGTGAGCTTTTGATATTGCCATTGGATAAGGGACGTTCCGTTTTGAATTTTCCTTCGAGTACGGTATTTTACTTTTTACAACAATACAACATCATGCTGTTACATAGGATCAGAGAAAAACATACACCATGTAAATAACTATATTACAGCAAAAAGGGTTGACAATTAGAAATTAAACACTTACAGTGCAATATATCTTTCATATGTGTTTACACATTACAGAAATCTTCATAAGGGTTGCAGCTAGAATATTTGCATTCAGTTTATTCATAATACCATTTCATAAATCAAGATTGATTGGCATCAATGTTGCAAATGTTGTATAGATATTCAAGACAAAAACAAATTAAGATTTCATAAACATAATTTAGGTTTCGCACGGTTGATCAAGCGGGTAACAGGCGGAATATTCAACCTACAACTGGAGAATGTTATGTTTGGATCGATTCTTTTGTTTTTGTGAATCCGATTTAATGTCACCAATAAATAAATCAGAAGTGGTATAATATCGTCAACATATTATCAAAATGTATGTCTCAGTTGTCTTTAAATCTGACAAGAGTCCTTAAATGTCCAAACCAGTATTTCAAACTTGTCCGAGAAGACTTTGAACACGAATAGAACCGTCCTTATATGGGCCAAACCGATGTTTCAAACTGGTCAGATTTGTGTTCAAAAGAAGGGCGAAAGATACCAGAGGGACAGTCAAACTCACAGATCGTGATTTTACAAATGATGAGAGTTTTCTTTAAAGTTGATGCGAGTTTTCTTTTGATTTGGTCCTAGTTGTCTTGGTCCGAGTTGTCTTTAGTCACAGTTTAATTCAGAATTTGTCTGCTCCAGTAGGTTATATGCTGCCTGTAGGTTCAATATAAACCCTAAACTTATTACTAAGTCTTTTACCGAATGATGCAAAGAGTTTCTAAATGGACTTTCAACTAATGCTGAAGTTGCAACCAAAGCTACTATATAATTTTTTGACGTATTAATGACATTTATACCATGATTTCTTAATAACGTGTTCTTTTAAATTTAACCTGTTTAAAACAAATTGTTATTAAGTTGATTAATTGACCCTGCAGTTCTTTACTTTTCAATCTACAGGCTATAGTCTTTGAAGGCGATATGTGGTTTCTGTAAGGAAACAATTTTCTTAACTAAGTCCGGGTTTGTTGATAATGGTTTTTGGGATGTGTTTTCTTTGTTCATAAGTCAGTTGTTCGTAGCTTTTACGGTCTTTTTACTGTCAAATACATTTGGTAATCCCGGTTAATATTTTGTATGCAATATATGCGTGATTATTAACCATGTTATCACTACATACATCAACAATCAATACGGATCTTTATAAAATTTCAGTGATTTGATCATTTTTAAGGAGAAAATATAAAACAAAAATAATGTTACTTTGTTGCAAGTAAGTAAAATTGATAACGAAATTATAGGGAAACTATAATTATGGTATATCTTTTATCGTTTGAACATGAAAAAAATATGCTATCAAAATGGAAACACCAGTCAAAATATCATGCTTATTAATTGGCACGCTAGAAGCGTGTTTTTTCCATAATCAACTCATTAGTAGCGCTCAAATAAAAACAAATAGTTGGATGGAAATGTACTATTGTAATAATGCAGTAAAATTGAATAAAGAGGAACAGTGGAAATACTAAACTATATTTTGATGAAAAAAGAACGTAATATTACTATTTCTCCTGCAGATTATCAAGACCTGAACGATCGAGTTTTTTCTTATTGTCAAGAAAGTTGTTCTAACATTACTAATGCAATGCACATTGCAAGCATTTTGAATGCAGACAAATATTTTACTTTTTCTTAGAATGATCCAATTAAACGTGACTTTTTTTATATGTATAGATTACTGCACGTCATTTTTCATATCAGACCTTTTATCGGCCCTTGGTCATGATATTAGTCCTAGAGCCGCAGGCTCAAGTACTGATATCATGAACGAGGGCCGATAAAGGGTCTGATATGAAAAATGAAATGCAATGATCTTTTTATTATATACTTTAGCTGAAGAAATACAGACAAGAACTTTTAAAATTTTGTCTTTCCTTGAACATTTAGATAACTATTTTTGTTTTTATAACAACTATAATCCCAGATATAATACAAAATTTAAACAGCATATGTTGTCACCTAGACGAACCTGTTGTCGTTGTACGCTTCAGTATATGAGTTATCGCCACTCAATGAAGATTTTTTTTGTTCTACTCCCTTCCTCCTAGTTGGATTTGATAGGATACCATGAAACCCCTGATGTGAACTACGTTTACATTTTGCACTTATTTAATGTTAAAAAAAATTAAATGCAAAGATAAAATAGGGAATGAAAAGCTAAAA